ACAAGAGATTTGCATGCGTTAGTGTATGAATGCCCGCAGGCGCTGGAGCTAAGTTTTGCGAGAGGAAAGACAAAGATAAGTGTGTACGTGTGTGTGTGTGTATGTGTGTGTGTGTGAGAGAGAGAGAGAGAGAGAGAGAGAGAGAGAGAGAGAGAGAGAGAGAACATGAATAAAAGCAAACTTTATTGAGTTGGACCAGACAAATAGAGATGTATTTTCCTAAGAGGCATCGAAATTTCTATCAACGCACAAAACTCGGCTTAACCTGGTATGCATTGCACATAAAATGGCACAAAAGTGTTTAGGCAATGAAAAGATTATAAAGCTATCATACCGGTTAAATCTTGGCCGATCTCATTTTTTTATATTAAGCTGTAAATTTATAATTTGACATGAATAAATAGACAAGCACAACATTTTAATTCTTTAATCATTCAAAAAACAGTTTATGTTAGAATAATATGAGTGTGACGTGTAAGTAATAAGAAAGCAGAATTTGATTACCTATAAAGAAAAATGAACAGTTCAGCTTGTTATATTGTATGTTAAATTATGCCTCACGGGAGAAACGTCTCTTGCGAATCGTTCCTATTGATGTGACATAAATCTGCTATATTTCTGTAAAATTCTGATTGGACGGTTTTAGTGGAAAAGATTTCTCGCTAAGGTATGAGAGGGCTGTAATAGAAGTATCTACTCCGGCATATCGAGGCAAGAGAGGCTCGGGACTACGGTCATCGATCCAGCTAACGATATCATGTCACGCGAGTTAATGATACTTGATATAAAAAATGCGAAAAAAGCTGTAGCGATAGCTGCAATCGAGCTTGAAAAATGTGCCCCAAGCAACTAAGTGAAAAAGCAGTTTTACAATTGCTAAATGAAAAATCAGTTTTGCAATTGCATTTAGAATTAGAATTATAAATTAGTTAGAGTTAACAGATAATATAAAAATGTTTATTTGTGACGCCGTCACGTTTTAAACAATATACTAATTAGTAAGTGATAATTGTCACAAACAATAGTGATTTTAAATTAACTTTTAACATTTAACAATTTGTATTTTTACTTTTATTTAATGTTAAAGACTCAAAGTGAAGCCAAAACGTTCATACTTTCTATTTAAATGATCAAATATAATTTTATAAAATTATACATGATTTTCTGCGGTTGATTCTCATTGATCCAATATTAATTTTTTTTAAATTAATGTTAATATTTTTAATATGCTACGTATATTTAATATTTAATATTAATGCATTAATAGATACATCCGTTTTCACATAATTTGCGATACTGAAAATTAAAAGGTTTCAAGAGTTGAACTTAAATATGTTTACTTAATTTATATGATGCATAACATAAAATTAATAGCGTATTAAAATTTGAGCAAAATATAAATTGATGAGCTTTAACAAGGATTTAATTACAAATTTAATCGTTAAAATTCAGCTTGTACAAGTGTTAAAATTAAAAAAAGAATTTGCACCAAAAAATGTTGTTAAAAAAAGAGTTGTAAAATGACGGGTCATCTTAGAAATTTGCACAGCTTCCTGACAAGGAGCGATTATTATCAAACTGAAGAAACCCTCACAAAACTGAAATCGGTCAAAGTTCATCGTGGGTCGCGCATGCATTTATCCTGACTTTCAATGCAAAATGACCTTTTCTTTCAGCGCTGTTTCTCGCTTCTCAATCCAAAGGCATTTCCGCTGGTCGGAAAAGCGCCGTTTGCAACGCAGAAAGTCACTGTGTCCGAAAGATCTGCGGTCTCCTTCGATAATTGCCGCAATTACCGCTAAAGGCGTAAACCCACTGGGAAATCAACGCGCGTGCGCGTCTTATTTAAGACAGCCATCAAAATGCTAGTAACTGATACGCCGATGATCTCACCGTGTGTTTCAATTCCTTGGTATCAATGTGAACAGCGGATGTGAACGGCAGAATTGCGTTATTTCACTTTCTGTCTTTCAAATCAAAATTTATTATTTTATCAAAAGAAAAAGATCTCAATTTTTTTCTTTATCTATTCTATCACATATCTATAACCGATCGAGAAACTCATTTGGTAATTTTTAATACAAATTTATTTCTTATAAGATTATATATTAATATTAAGATATTAAGATTTATAAATCGATTTTGCTTAGCCTAATGTTATCTATTTTATTATTATTGTCTGAGATTCTATCAATTTTATCAAAAGAAAAAGATCTCAATCTTTTTATCTTTTCTTCGACATATCTGTAACATATAGTAGTAGATCAAGAAACTCATTTGATTTTTGTTTCTTCCATTAAAATTCCTAAATTAAGTTTACTTAGTTTAATACTTTCTATTTTATTATTATTATCATCCGATCTCACAATATTTAAACGAGACTGATGTTATTGGTGTGTTTGTAGGTGTATGTGTGTGTGCGCGCGCGCGCGCGTGTGTGTGTGTGTGATTTCAGCTATTGGTTTACCTCTTATTGTTGTCTTATTCTGGTTTTATTACTGATAGGCTTTGTAACAGCAATTTTGCTGATGCCTAATCATTCGCTACTATTTGTCTATTGTATTTATGTTTATGTTAACTATAGTCCATTGTATCATATTTTATGTTTATTACTCTGTTAACATGTAGTCTTTTTCATATAGCTTTGCAATAAACTAAATTAATTTAAATTAAATTAAATTTCAATAGATACAGTTAATTGCACATTAGCCCGCACATTTTATATACGATCAGTAAATACACGTATTGTACATTGTACTTCCTAATTCCCTTTACAGTCGGTTGCAAGTTTTCCAGTTTATTTGCCATTCCCTTATGTTACCACATGTAACGCATTTTACTATTTCACGACGTCGTAAAGCCAAAGAATGTTGACAAAGCGAAACAATATCTGACATTTTAAGGGTCTTGGAATACAGTATCGGCAACGCGTATACAGAAGGCTTATAAGCATCAAAATTCCGTTAGCATTGAATATTACAGCGGTGACCTCCGGCAGACTCGTTGGATTAAGTAACTGATATTTGAAAATTAAAATATTTACAGAATGAACAAAAATATTCTGCTTGATGAATCGCACAATAACTTTCGCACATTTTAACTAAATTTTAATCAAATTTCGATCACGTTTAAACAAACTATTTAACATAATTTTTATTCAATGTAACTATTAGTTAATTTTTTGAAATTACAATTCTTTTTTAAATTTATTATGTATATAAATGTATACGTGACAGTACGATTCATCTTCATGCAATTTCCCAGAAGATATTCGAGCACGATTTATAAATGTCAATGAGAGATCTGCACTTTATCCTTTTTCTCACGTTGCAAAACTTTATATATTTAAAGTTTAAAAGCATTCAAATGTCACACGACGATCTAAAGCAGTCGCGCTTGTGACTTGAATAACTTTGACTAACTCAGTCGGATACCATTTCCTCAATTCATACATCTGAATATCTGATACAGTATAATAAATCTTGTATAATATACCATATATATATATATGTACCATATATATATATATATAGTACATATGTATAATATACGAAGCAA